CTGGGATTTCCTCCCTCCCTCCCTTCCCCCTGGGATTTCCTCCCTCCCTTCCCCTGGGATTTCCTCCCTCCCTTCCCCTGGGATTTCCTCTCCCTGGGATTTGCCCCAGCCCTGTCCTGGCTCCCAGGAAAGGAGAATTCCCCAGACTCGGGGCAGCTCCTCTCCCATCCCATGGGATCCCCGGGAGGCTCCAGGGCCGTGCCAGGAGGGGTTCCCAGAGCAGCTCTGCATTCCTGAGCCCTCCCAAAAAACCTTTGGGATGTTCCTGCCTGGATCCAGCTGGGAATGAACCCTCAGGAGGTTTATTAAGGAACCAGGGTGGGATTCCAGGAATTCCCATCCTCTGCTGCTTTTTCTTCCCCTTTGGGAGAGGGAAGATCCTGTTCCCTGGGGTTTGGGATTTGCTCCTTTTTCCCTCCCCGAGGCAGGGCTTGGACTGGGGGGAAATGTCAGGAAACTCCTCCTGTCCCCAGGGAAGGGCCAGGGATGCACAGAGAGCTGCCAGAACATCCAGGGAAGGGCAAAAAGGGGATTTGAATTCCTTCTGCCGAGGCCTGGGGGGTTTATTCCCAGCGGGAAGGGTCCGAGGGAGCCCTGTCCATCCCTGGATGCAGCCTGGGATCCCGGGAGCTGGGGCTGGATGGGATTTATGACCCCATCCATCCCTGGATGCAGCCTGGGATCCCGGGAACTGGGAATGGATGGGATTTATGGTCCTCTTCCATGCCTGGATGCAGCCTGGGATCCCGGGAGCTGGGAATGGATGGGATTTATGGTCCCTTCCATCCCTGGATGCAGCCTGGGATCCCAGGAACTGGGAATGGATGGGATTTATGACCCCATCCAGGATGGGATTTATGACCCCATCCAGGATGGGATTTATGACCCCATCCAGGATGGGATTTACGGTCCCTTCCAGCCCCGTCCATCCCACGGCTCCCGGTGGAAGCTGGAGGCAGCTCCGAATTCCCAAGGGATAAATCCCGGTGCCCAGGGTCCCCTCGGGGCCGGCTCAGTCGCAGCTTGGAGCAGACCTTGTGCATTTCACGGGATGCAAATCCAGGGAAAACAAAGATTTGGGGCTTTTCTCGGCCCTGGGAGCTGCCTCCCTCTGCCCGCGCAGCTCCGGGATAAGGACAAATCCCTGCTGTTTTTCCCAACAGGGATTTTGGGGCAGGAGTGAGGCTCTGGAATGTTCTGGGGCCGGCCTGGCTGGGCAGGACATTCCCGCAGGGAATTCCCGGGGGTTGCTCCGCTCCAGCCGCGGCCGGGGATGCGCTCGGTGCCTGGGCAGGTGCGGAGCCCGACCCATCCCATTCCTCCTCCCTCCCGGCTTTTCCTGGCTCCAGATCCCGGTCTCGGTTACCGGCAGGGGGAACTCTGCTTCCAGCCATTCCCAGCCCCTCCAGAAGCGGCTCCCGTGCAATCCCTGCCCCAGCCGCAAACGCGGCTTTTCTCCAGCTTTTCCCCCATTTTCCCCGCCTTCAATCCCTGCCGGCCGCCAGCAGAGCCGGGCTGGGAGCTGGAATCCTCCCCCTGCTCCTCCCGGGCAGCTGGCGTGGAAAACATTCCCTCTGGAATTGTGCCCGCAGCTGCCCCGGGAGGTGAGGCTGGGCTGGGAGCGGGATTTGGCAGCTCCGCTCCCTCTCCTTTCATCCCCGCTGCTCCTCCCGCAGCTCCAGCAGCAGATGGTTCCCAAAAAAAAACCCCCAAAAAAGCCAAAAAAACCCCAAATGTTTGGAGAGGGAGGCGGAGGGGAGGGAATTTTGGGATGTTTTGGAGGGATGGAGATCATTCACCGCGGAGTAAAGGTGGATTAAGGAATTGTTGTTATTCCCTTGGGATCTCGGCGTTCCTTTGAAACCCCCCGAGGATGTTTTGGGGAGAGCGAGGAGAGGTTCCCGTGATGGATTTGATGGTTTAATGATCTGCTTCCCTGCAGGTTTGGTTTAATTGTCCCCACATCCGACCAAACCCCGGGATTTTCCCTTGATGAAATCCCAGTTTGGAGCCCCCAGGAGGAGCCTGCAGGGGCAGGAGCAGAAAACCCCGCTCCAAATCCCCCAAACCCGCGGTGTTGCCAGGTAATCAAGCCCTCATTAGTTAATTTGTTGCGTTGTGGGGGTGGCCCTGGGCTGGTTGGGGTCGGGAGGGAGCCGGGCTGGGCTCTGAGCTCCCACCAGGGCCGGCTCCTGCTTGTGGGGCTCGGAATCCAGCGGGGGGACTCGGGGACATCACCCCCAGCCCGCAGCTTTGGGGAGAGGGGAACAATCCCGCAGCAGGATCGGGTTTTAATGAGTCCGGGATCAAAAGCAGCCTGGAAAACAAGAGCAGCCTCATCAGGAGCCGCTGCTAACGAGCACCAAAGCTCGGGGCTGGGGGAGCTGCTCGCTCGCCATTGTCAGTTGAAAGGCTGAGTTCCTCCTCTCCTCCAAAATCGGCTTTGATGCGTCTCCAATCCAGGTAAAAATAGCAAGGCAGCAGATTCCCTGCAATTAAAACCTCCAGGGCAGGGTTTGTTCTGAGCAGGGTTTGTTTTCTCCCAAACAAAAGTGGTTTTTAATGGCAGCAGCAAGGACTGAGTGAAGGTTTCTGGAGGGGTTCGGGAGCCAGGGGAGGAAATGTGGGTGGGAAATGGCCAGAGCAGGGAGCTCGGAATGGTTTGAGAGGGGACTGTGCCTCACAGCAGCAGGAATTCTCTCATGGAAGGGCTGATCCCTGGGGCTTTGGGATCTGGGAGCCTCTGTCACAGGATTCCAGAGTGGGTTTGGGATGGAGGGAGCTCAGAGCTCAGCCAGGGACATCCAGGGACATCTCCAAGCCCCTGCCACATCTCCAAACCCTGGCCAGCCTGGCCTGGGGCACTTCCAGGGACCCAGGGCCAGCCACGGCTGCTCTGGGAATTCCATCCCAGCCCCTCCCCAGCCTCACAGAGAAGGAAAATCCTGTAACGCTCTGGGTCCTTGCCTTGAACCTTGAAGATTGCCCAGCTCTTTTCTGCAGGTGTATAAAAGACACTGATATTTGGAGAGACACGGGTATTGTATCTCTGCACACAGACAAGCTGCTGAGCCCAAGCTGTGGGGCTGTTTCCTTTCGCTGCTGCCCCACAGAGCTCAGATCCCACCTGCAGGAGGAGGGCTGGCACAGCCCTGTCACATCCCTGGGCACATCATCCCTGTCACATCCCTGTCCCATCATCCCTGGGCACATCATCCCTGGGCACATCATCCCTGTCACATCATCCCTGTCCCACCCCTGTCCCTGTCCCATCCCTGCTCATACCCCTGGCACATCCCTGGGCACATCATCCCTGTCCCATCATCCCTGTCCCACCCCTGCTCACATCCCTGTCCCATCATCCCTGTCCCATCATCCCTGTCCCGTCATCCCTGTCCCGTCATCCCTGTCCCGTCATCCCTGTCCCATCATCCCTGTCCCATCATCCCTGTTCCACCCCTGCTCACATCCCTGGCACATCCCTGTCACATCATCCCTGTCACATCATCCCTGGGCACATCATCCCTGTCCCATCATCCCTGTCCCATCATCCCTGTCCCATCATCCCTGTCCCATCCCTGTCCCTGTCCCACCCCTGTTCACATCCCTGTCCCATCATCCCTGTCCCATCATCCCTGTCCCTGTCCCACCCCTGCTCTCCGTTCCCTGGAGGCCGCCCATCCCTCCGTGGCTCTCCAGGCTGCAGCAGCTCTGGTGACAGAGCCGGGGCTGCTGTGACAGGAGCAGAGCTCGGAGGGCTGGTGGGGAGCAGCAGCTGTGCCAGGCACGGAAACAGCGCGGGGAGAGGATGGATCCTTAATTAGCCACGGCCAGAAAATGTCCATTAACAGCGACAGCCACGGCGTTGGGCTGGACACAACGCCAGCTCCCCAAAGCCAGCTCCATGGCAATCCCTGGCACGGCGTTCCCGGAGCTCTCCAGATGGGAACGGGGCTCCACAGGTGGGGAGCAGCACCTTGAGCTGCCTCCCCGAGAGCTGCACAAATTAAAGCCTCATTAAGCGTCCCCCCGTGATTGAGCCGGGCTTTGTTTGGGTTCGTAACAGAGCTGGCAAATCCGGGGAATAATGAAATAACTGCGTTTTCATCCTCTGCTGATGGGGGAGTTTAATTAGTGCTGCATTTCCAATAACTCTGATCCCGACGTGCCGCAGATCCTTCCTGGATAACGGGATAATGATTGGAATCCTGTCCTGCAGCCCCGCGCTGGAGGCAGGGCTGCTCCATTTAATCACGGTGGAGAAGCGCTGGCAGCTCTCTGCAGCTCAGCCTCTCCCTAATTACATTTCTGGAGTTTTAGTAAATTGAAAGGGAAAACGCAGGAACAAAATAATTAAACCCGAAGAGGAAGTGAATATTAAAAAGCAGCAGCTAGTTAAAATTCTTGCGCACAGCTCCTCTCGGAGCTGGTTTAATCAGATTCCCATGGAAATCACACTGGGAGGGGTGACACCTCCAAAGCTGGGGCTGCAGCAGTGTTTGGTGTCACTGTCACAGGGAGATGCCACCTCCCATCCAGCCGGGAATTGTCCCCAGAGCTGGGATTTCGGAGCTCTCGCTTCACGCACACCAAAATCCCCATCCCAACAGGCGAGGTTCAAGCGCCTGGAATTGTTTATTTATCACAGAATTGCGTTCCAGACATGGAGAAGTGACAATAATTCCCTTCTCCCAGCCAGCGAGGGGGACAGAGCTGAGCCTAAACAACTTCTGCAAAGGGAGGAGAGGTGAAATTCCACCTCCATTTCCACAGGTGCCCAATTCAATTTTCTGCTTCCTGGGAACAAGAGAATTTTGATCAGGAGAAGCTGAAAAAGAGCTTGACTTCCCCACTGCGGAGTGCCACTCGGCCAGTGCTGGATTAAAGGAGAATTTCTGTTTGTTCTGGTTACAGAGAGGCTGCCGGGGAGGAGGGGGGATCTCTTTGTTGTCCGTAAAACCGGTGCTGTAATTTCCTCTGCCGCTTCAGCTCTGAGAGGAGAAACACATGGCTAAAAATCCACAGCTTAGGTGGGAATATCAAACAGGAATGGGAAGGGAATGGAAAGCGGTTTCCAGGAGAAACGTGCGGCCAGCACGGGGACGCAGACAGCAGCCCCGCACCTCACAGAGCCATTTCTTCATCACCTGCTGCTCTGTCACCACGGGCAGCGCTTGGGGACACGAAGGAATGCTGCAGGATCCAAGGATTGCTCCAAGGACTGGAGGAGACACCTGCCAGGAAAAGCCGGGACGCTGCGGAGAACATTCCCAATAATCCAGGAGCCAGGTGGATGCGGCAGCCCCTGGCCACGAGAAGCGTTTCTCACCTGGGAGGAGGAGAGAGATGACAAAAATATTTTGCATTTGCCATTTCAATAAACATGGCTGTGCCAAGGAAGCTGGGTAGTTCTGTTCTTGGGGTGCTTTGTGTGCCATGGAATGAATTCACCCTGAGGCTGGAAGGGGCAGGAGGGGAAAGCTGGCTCTGGATAAACTTCTCTACAAACATTCGGGTAATTAAGGGCTGGTAACAATGCTTCACTGCTTACAAACCACTGCAAATTAATAAAGAAGAGCTATACCAATAAATGAATTGCTTCTTTTGCTGGAAATGTATAACTAAGTAAATAAGTTTTGTATCAGCCTGGGTGTGGAGGAACTTTGTCAGCCTCGCATGAGCCGGGGCCAAGAAGAAAGCAAGGCCTGGCTCGATAACACTGGAAAACAGGGGTGGAGTCTTATTTCTCATGACGTTTTTGGAGGATTCTGGTAACACTTCCTCACAGAACTGTGAGGGGAAACAGCACCTGCCATTCCCTTGGCAGCCAGGCCCTCATGGAGCCATGAGGGAAGGGGGAGATGACACCCGCCATTCCCTCAGGCAGGTGTCCCCTCATGGAGCCGTGAGGGGAGATGGTTCCCGCCATTCCCTCAGGCAGGTGTCCCCTCATGGAGCCGTGAGGGAAGGGGGAGATGGTTCCCGCCATTCCCTCAGGCAGGTGTACCCTCATGGAGCCGTGAGGGAAGGGGGAGATGGTTCCCGCCATTCCCTCAGGCAGGTGTACCCTCATGGAGCCGTGAGGGGAGATGAC